TATATAAAACACACATACAACATGTAAACAATATAAATATATAAATAAAACTATATTCAAATTTAGTTTTAAATAAAAGAAACAATGTAATTGTTTTAAATAAAAAAAACACATACTAGTAATTCATCACTTTTTAATAAACACAGATATTAAGATAAAAACACTGATATCATAATTTTCCTGTAGTTTCTTTGAAACAATGTGTATTGTGAAAAATGCTATACAAAACAAAAATTACTTGACAATTAATGTATTACCAAGTTAAATTAAAACAATGTCATGTAGCTTCAAAATATTTTCAAGTAAACACTGCTTACGTTTCTAATCGTTCAAGTTATTTTCTTTATTTCTTGTCATTATTGTTGTTTGAATAATATTAACATCATAACAGGCATCAGTAGGTCTGTTAAATAATACAAAGCGCACAAATCCCATCAGGTTTTTGTACTTTATATATATTTGCGCTTTATATTCACTAACACAAACCAACGAACTTAAAACCTTTTGATCATTAAACTGGCTTACAAGAAAGCATCTGAACATGATCTCCGGCTGACTGCAGCGGGCGATGACCGCCCCATTACGCTGGTGCCTGACGGGACACATCGCAGAGATCATCAGTCACTGTCAGCTGCGCAGGAGGCCAGGAGACAGACGAGCTGCTTCTCTCACCTGTACACCACCACAGGAATCCTCTTCCAGGACCTGAAGGAGGCCACGCTCTCCAGCTCCTTATCTGTGATCCAGACGGGCACCAGCAGTTTTTGTGGGTAACTCGAACACAACCTACAATGACAAGAGTTAGATGCTGAAACTCACAGACATAAACACAACTAGCGTTAAAGTTGAATTTGTTTATTAACTAATATTATTATTTAACGCCATATCAGCAGCAAAGGGTCTTGCCATTGCAAAACATACTAGGAAGTAATATATAACAATATAATAACAGCATAATATCATAATACCAATAAATATATTATTTGCAGCAATTTAACAATATTCTAACAACAAATATATTAATAAATACAGCAATATCATAAGGTGCTTCAGTTTGATATTTGATATATTTAGACAGATTTTAAAATATGCCTTTATACACAAATAAATAAAAAACTAAAATATTAATATTAATTTAAATATTTATTTATTACCATATTATCAGCAAAGGCTATTCTCGTTGCAAACAGAGTAGTAGAAATTAATACTTACTTCATAAAGTAATATAATAATAATAACAACAAAACACTTAAATGATTAAAGAAAATGATATGCAATAATTTAACAATATTCTTACAAAAAATATAGTAAAAAATACAGCAATTATACATATTCACTAACACAAACCAACGAACTTAAAACCTTTTGATCATTAAACTGGCTTACAAGAAAGCATCTGAACATCAGAAACAACAAAAGAGTCATTTTCTCGCTCTCGTTTCATCCTGATGTTCAGATCAATCACACCTCTGTCTCAAAGCTTTTGGCTTCTCTCCTGAGGCCACAAGAGGGCGCATCGAGCAAAATATTACTAATGTCTAACAACAAATATATTAATAAATACAGCAATATCATAAGGTGCTTCAGTTTGATATTTGATATATTTAGACAGATTTTAAAATATGCCTTTATACACAAATAAATAAAAAACTAAAATATTAATATTAATTTAAATATTTATTTATTACCATATTATCAGCAAAGGCTATTCTCGTTGCAAACAGAGTAGTAGAAATTAATACTTACTTCATAAAGTAATATAATAATAATAACAACAAAACACTTAAATGATTAAAGAAAATGATATGCAATAATTTAACAATATTCTTACAAAAAATATAGTAAAAAATACAGCAATTATACAACCTCCTTCATATATATATATACAG